TCCCATTTGGTATACTGGTAAACACTTTGACAAACTATCCATGGTAGAATCAACCTCATCTGTATTGAATAGGTGCATGCCTCTATTCTGAATGGATGCCTCACTTTGAGAATAAGGTCTAACAAGAGAAATTTGTAGAGAGGAACAATATGCTGACAAATATAAATGCTTTGGCAGTCAGAAAATATATTTGATTGGTATTTTATTGAAGTCTTAGCAGGTTTCTATTTTAGTTTATCTCTATTATTTATCAAATCAAAATGCAGTATCATGGTTAACACATGTCACCTAATTACACGATGGATCCTAATTTATTCGTCTCAATATGTACATCACATCAACAAATAGCATTCCATTGTACATAGATAATCATTCTGAAGTGAGATATAGAAGTTGTCCTTTTCAGATAAGGAATTCCCTCCCCCTTCTTCTCTTTAATTTGTTAAACCAGTAATGAGAAATCATTAAGTTCAAATGAATGTTTTAATCTGATCCTGCACAGGTAGTTGTGGAGAAAAAGTTAATGCGTGAAAGACACTTAACCAGGCATGATATTGGTCGTGAAGATTTTGTAAATGAGGTGAGTCTAAAATTCCAAAATCAAATTTGATTTAATTGATTTCCCATGCAGCCATGCTTATATTACATTCTTGTGGTTTCACTGATGTTGTGGCGTGAAGGTCTGGAAGTGGAAGCATGAATATGGTGGTACTATTTTGGTACAACTACGGAGGTTAGGAGCCTCTCTGGATTGGTCCCGTGAGGTGAATTATAAACCTCAGTTTTTTTTTTTTGTTTAAAATTTAATACTGCTCATTATTTGGCTCCTTATTTGAATTTTTCATGTAATTACATTTTTGTTATCTTGTTATATCTCACTGTTCTTTCATTTTCTTTCATTTTACTATCTTCCCAGGCTTTTACAATGGATGAGAAAAGGTCAAGGGCTGTGACAGAGGCTTTTGTTCGGTTGTATAGGGAAGGCCTGATATATAGGTATACTTTGCTTTGCCACCCTTTTATTTTTTATATTTGGCCTCATCTTTTCTGTTCAGGCCATAAATTTCTGATAGCTTTTTGACGTGGGTAGTTGCATTTTGTTGTCATTCTTGTCCAAAGTTTTTTGTTTGAGCCGTCAAGTTTGATTAATATGTTGAAAAGATAAGTGATGTGAATAACATTTTAATATCTAAAATCAAAAGAATAAAGTATGATGTTAAACAGGGTAAAGGAGAGGCACTTAGCAAATAGGGTGTGTCATCAATTAATGGGTGGATGTATAGTATTCAGACAAGGAGGGGAAAAGATCGCCCTGATTACTGAAGTTGACATACATGGTAAACATTAAGATTTTGAGAAATGACTTCCTAGGGTTACGGGCGGGTTATAACCCAAAAAACTAGTTTATTAGGTGTTGGAGCCAACCTATTATATATGCTTCACAATCTCCCTATTCGTTGCTGAACTGATATTAGATGTGAACTCTGCTAATTATTAATTATTAATACAGATCATGAAATAATGAAATAAAGAAAATCAAAATATATTGATGACAAGGATTGCAAATAACTGTAGGCATGACAAACAAAATAATTTGATTTCAATATTTACGGAGTTTATTATTGTTTGTGTAGTTAGTCTTTTGTTTCATGCTTGAATGTGTTTTTTATAGGGATGTTCGTCTAGTAAATTGGGACTCTGTGTTGCTAACTGCTATCTCTGATATTGAGGTAAGATATTTTCTTTTAGTTGTTTAATTTCGAGATTACCTCCTGCTCAACTGAAAATTGCTTGGTCTTTGTAGGTGGATTATATTGACATCAAAGAAAAGACCCTATTAAAGGTCCCTGGTTACGAGAAACCAGTGGAATTTGGAGTTTTGACATCCTTTGCTTACCCTCTTGAGGGAGAGAATGGTGAGATTGTTGTTGCCACTACTAGAGTGGAAACAATGCTTGGTGATACAGCCATCGCTATTCATCCCAATGACAAGAGATACAGTCATCTGCATGGAAAATTTGCAATTCATCCATTCAATGGAAGAAAACTTCCTATAATTTGTGATGCAATACTTGTTGATCCAAACTTTGGAACTGGTGCTGTGAAGGTGTGTCTTTTTATTTATAAGTCTTGGATTGCTAAAATTGGTTTTCTCTTTAATTTTTCGATACCCTGCAGTCATTCTTTTTTGTGTTTTCCAGATCACCCCAGCCCATGATCCAAATGATTTTGAAGTAGGCAAACGCCATGATTTGAAATTTATTAACATTTTCACTGATGATGGGAAAATAAATAGTGCTGGTGGAGTTGACTTTGAAGGAATGCCACGATTTAAGGCCCGTGAGGCTGTGACTGAAGCACTGCAGAAGAAGGTATTTGATTCCATTGATGTATTGGAGAAAATTTATGTTTGAGTTTGGGACAGACTTTGATGGGGTCTGATGTCTTTCTCTCATTTAGGAATTATACAGGGGTGCTAAGAACAATGAGATGCGTCTTGGCATTTGTTCAAGAAGCAATGATGTTATCGAGCCAATGATAAAGCCTCAGTGGTATGTCAACTGCAGTAACTTGGCAAAGCAAGCTCTTGATGCAGCTATGGATGATAAAAATAGGAAGCTAGAATTCATTCCAAAGCAATACACTGCTGAATGGAAAAGGTGACCATCTCATTCTCTATTGCTGCTCATGAGTGATAAACTTCCAGTGAAGCCAATCTGCTTTAATTGCTGGTTCCTGTCTATATTTTAGACCTTATATTTGAATTGATGCATTGACTTTAATAAGCTTCTGATGTTTTTGTCATATAGTTTGATCTTTTTTGTTAGTACCTGATGATTAAAATCTGCTAATTATCTGCCTCATTATTTATGATTACAGATGGCTTGAGAATATACGTGATTGGTGCATCTCAAGGCAGCTGTGGTGGGGTCACCAAGTTCCTGCATGGTATGTTAAACTAGAAGATGATGAGCGGAAGGAACTTGGTTCCTATGAAGACCGCTGGATAGTGGCAAGGGATGAGAAAGAAGCTTTAGCAGAGGCTAACCAAAAATTTTCTGGCAAGAAATTTGAGATTTATCAAGATCCGGATGTACTAGACACCTGGTTTTCTTCTGGTGTCTTTCCATTATCTGTCCTGGGATGGCCAGATGATACCAATGATTTAAAGGCTTTTTATCCAACATCAGTCCTTGAAACTGGACATGATATTCTCTTTTTCTGGGTCGCCAGAATGGTTATGTTAGGAATTAAACTGGGAGGTGATGTACCATTTACAAAGGTGTGTGAAATAGTTGTCCTATATTTTATGTTTTTATTTGCGAGGTTGTCTAATTTTACTTATTTGTTAATGAATTTTATGTTATGCAGGTATATTTGCACCCTATGATACGTGATGCCCATGGCCGTAAGATGTCAAAGTCTCTTGGAAATGTAATTGATCCTCTTGAAGTAATAAATGGGATATCCCTTGAAGGTCTTCACAAGAGGCTGGAGGAC